TACTTTTTAATTTTGAGGACATTTTACAAAGACTGTACACGTGCATATAATACTCACACATTTCAATATCCAAGGTGTAGAAAAAATGTAAGATTATTTTTATTTATAACATATTAGCTACTGTTGAGTGTTTGTGCTGAAACCTGAAAGTTTGCGGAGTTGTAAGAGTCAAAATGTTTCATACAGAAGCACAAATCAAATTGCAAGTTGTAGTGAGTGAAATACGTGTAGTATCTGGCATTTGGAAAATTACTGACCAAACCTGGAAAAATGCTGACACATATTTTAAGACCCTTGCTTAAGTGAAGTTGGGTGGAAGGTGTAAATGTGGGATATCAGGCATTTCTCTTATCCATCAGCCTAACTGGATTTTTGGGGTATGTTTAGGGTGAGCAGTGTTTATGGAAGTACTAAAAGACTTCACCGAATATTGCATGTTTAAACTGAGAAATTGTAAAGGTGACGGTGATTTTCTGGATATTAGGGACTGATAAGTATCGTATGATAAGTTGATTCAAGTTAATTTACTGAATTTGAAGCATTAAACAATGAAGCATATAATTTTTTTCCTGGATCTAATGCTAGAACTATCTGTAACGAATTATTAAAATTAGAAGCCTTGACTCTTCTTAAATAACTTGATGCCATTGGTATTACCGAGTTTGATTGTGATGATCTAAGTTTATGAGGTTTTAATTTAATATAACAAGGAAAGAAGCGATTTTGGTTCTTACTAGATCAATATATCTGCCTTTTTAATTTTATACAGCTTGCTCTTCATCTTCCTCACATTACAAAATAATCTTGTTGTTACTTCCATTTGTCAATTCTTCATTGCAGTCAAACTCGACTTTTTTAATTTACCCTAAATTTATCAAAGTAGTTTTCTAAAGAATGGGTTGTCTTAGCTTCAGTCACATAATTTTGAAGGCTATTCCATGTATGTCTGGCCAAAGCTAAACTTTATTACATTTTTTCAACAGTTTGGACTTATTTCTACATATTTTTTGTTCTTTATTTATTTTAAACTAGTTTTCTGTTACAGCACTCATGTACATACCAATATTTACGTGCTTTATCACCTTTCCACTCACTGTATTGCTCCTAATTGATGCCTCCAGGGATGTTGCAAACTACAAAAGGGATGGGGGGGGGGTACTAATTATGATATTTGTGCAGTTCCAGATTCTGTTTTTCACATGTGCTTTCTTGATTTCAATGCTAATAAATGGGTGTGTGTTTTTTCTTCTTACTTTTTGAAATCAAAATTATGCTAATAAAAGTGAATTATAAGTTGGATTACTATTGCTGTCACACAAAATAAGCTTTATTAAAATAGTGGAGGAGGGGGATAATTAGAGAGGGGGCATTAATTAGGGGCAATACGGTGGTCTTCTAAACTCTAAAAGCATAATTTTGGTAGATATAGTGAAATATTTTTTTTTTGGAGCTTATATCTTTAAAGCTTAGCATTAATTTGGTTTTACACCTTTTAATTTGTTTCATTATCCTTTTTTTTGTCAAAAAGTTAATGAAATGTTTTTGAGAAATGTAATATGTTGGAGGTTGGTAATGAGGTAAAGTGTGTATGGTTTGAGTTATTATATGAGAAGGGGGGGGGGACTTTTTACTGAAAATTTTCATAGTTCTCCAGATCAGGAAATTAACACTCTTAGGACTATGCCAATACAGATTGGTTATACTTTTAATAAAAAAATAACATTTTATGATGAGAAGAGAAGTCAAGTTAGAGATGGCTTTTGAAAGATCATGCAATAAAGAAGAAAAGAAGCAAGACAGGAAATAGATATCTTTTCCAAAATAAAGAGACCAAAATTATACACAATATTAGAGATTATTACTTCTTTTGAATTGAAATGGAAAGACTTGAATGAGAAAATTGGGGATAAATACCATAAGTTTAAGAAGATAAAACTGACAGATAGTAAAGAAGACTTACAGAACCATAGGAAATCTATAAACTTGGTTTGAAAATATTAGCAGTATTCCTGTAGATATTAATCTCTTGGTAGTAACTTGGAAGAATGAGATTAAATGTAGATAGAGCACCTATCCAAGACAAGTTTCTCTCAAGGATTTTAAAGGAGGTGAAATATCAGATACACGAGTCTCTCTCTCTCTTTCATTCTGATAGGTCAATAGACAGTAGGCAAGAACTGTATGAGTGGGAGTTAATAATGTTACTCCTACTTTTATTTGGAGAGATGAGAATTACACTGGATGTTATAGGCCAATTATATGTAGTATTACATTCTAGAGAGTGTGATAAAAGAAGCTTTGCAAAATCACTTGGTGAAATATGATATTGTTAAAGAAAGGTAACATGGATTCATTGAAGGAAAATCTTACCTTACTAATCTGTTAATGTTTTTGAGGATATTATTTTATGGACAATGAAAAGATTGTGGACTTAGTATACTTAGATTTTCAAAAAAAAAATATTTTTTTATCAGATTCCACAGAGAGAGTATGTTAAAAGAATCACATCACTAGGAGTTGGGGGAAAAGACTACTTAATTCAGGCCTTGACAAATATTTTCAGATCTAGGAACCAGGTGGTACTAATCTAACTTCACTACTGTTTGTACCAGGAAATTATGTTTGTTTACTTTCACAGCAACGAGTGCATGCTAATGATCACATGATATCAACAACCACTTGATAGTATTGCCTAAAATAACTGCCTTTGGTCTCGTTTGAGTCTAAACATGCTCACTGATTAGTTGAATTGAGAGAAAGAAGAAAACCAAAATGGCACAAAATTAGTAACGTGTTGTGTAACCACAGCACTTCATTCCTGAAAAAACATGAAGTAGTGCTGGATTTGCCATTAAAATCCTAGAAACAAAGTTTGATTTAGGACTCAAAGAATGCAAAAATAGTTCCGGACTTCCAAGAGTCCAGAACTGTTCTATATTTGTGAGTTCTATTTAGTACAGCCCTGTACATGAATAAAATGGAAGAAAATACCTAGGCACCACAATGAAATGTTTAGTCACCATGGCGACCTGGCTTCCGGGATTTGTCGAGGCCTGACTTAATTAGATTATAGGGTGATAGGATGAGAAAAAGAAAGCGGACCTCAGTCAAACTGGACCTTTGTTATTAGTTGAGTGCCTCATGGGTCATGCTTGTGTTTTTGCTTTTTCTTATTTACATTGATGTTATTAACAGGAGCCTAATTAGTAAAATTTCCTGATGACACCAAACCCTAGGAGATTTCTAGCTGTATTGAGTGTGTTTGGGTACATGCACTACACAATGACTAGTCATATGATGAGTTGGACAGATGTTGGGAAAGTGATCATTACAAGGTAAGGCTTGTAGGTTATGCATGCAATTTGGATCCTGTATTTAATACAGATGGAACTCCACTCGACAGCAGAACTAAGGAAAAGGATTATGGCATATTGTTGGATAAATCACTGAGCCAGTGCTTTGTTGCCAGTATACATTTAGTTTTAGAACTAATATAATTTCATGGTGTATGTGATTATAAACAAATTGATTACAATTCAAAATATATAATTATCTTTCCTTAAAAAAACCGGTGTTAGGTATCACTTGGAATGTTAGATACAGTTTTGGTTTCTTTATCTTAGAAAGTATAATGCCTTACTGGAAAATGCCAAGATGAGAGTTACAACTACAGGCAGGATGATTTCATAGAGGGAAGGGTTATCTTAGAGGGATTGATTAAAATCTCTTAGCTTTTTCTTTTGTGAGAGGTGATCTTATTGAACTTTAGAAAGATTATTCAAGGACCAAAACATTTTGAGGATTATTTTTTGTTTTTGTTACATTCTAAAGACAGTAGGATCAGAGGACACAAATTTGAGATTTGGTAAAATACAGGCTAGGCTCCATTTAAGACATTTCAGAAAAAAATTCTTAACAAGAGTGGTTAGTTTATGGAATAACTTGCCATCACGTGGTACTTTACAAGTGTTTAAAAGAGGAATAGATGACCTCCAGAAAAGTAAAGGTTGAATTTAAATGTTTCATTTTTCTCAGAAGTTTAAGTACAGGGACAGTCTTAAAGGACCAAATGATTCCGTGGTACTTTACAAGTGTTTAAAAGAGGAATAGATGACCTCCAGAAAAGTAAAGGTTGAATTTAAATGTTTCATTTTTCTCAGAAGTTTAAGTACAGGGACAGTCTTAAAGGACCAACAGAAGTTTAAGTACAGGGACAGTCTTAAAGGACCAACAGAAGTTTAAGTACAGGGACAGTCTTAAAGGACCAAATGATTCCTTGGTGTCTGAAATACTGTTCATTACATTAGCTATGACCCTGGTTTTATAAATAAGACGGACTTTCAAAAGGTAACTAATTAAAGAAACTGAATGAGAAACTAGTTTAAAAGGGAAAAATGTAATTGATGTTTGAAATTTTTTTTATTAGATCTCATCAATTTTCTAAAAAAAAAATGCATTTATATAAATATATTAGTACTGGCTGTTGTATGTCCATGCATACCACCAAAACTTGTGTGGAGGTTCATTAGGTCCTTGTGGGGGGGGTACATATAAATTATCAGTGTCACGGTTTTTATGGGTGTCTTTGTGGTTTTTACCACTACTTCGCTCCCTGTAGATGGATATTCACCAAATTTGGTTTGGAGGTTCATTGGGTCCATGGGGAGATACATGCAAACTTGTGTTTTGCAGTTTTTATGGGTATTTTTTGCATTTTTTACAATTACATATAAGGGAAGCAACTTTTCATGTCCTCAGATAACCTTTCATTAATCATGAATTTACATAACTTCCATCCAGGGGTACTCCATTCAAACCAACAGGAGACCAAATACAAAATGTTTAAAGAAAAATATTATAATTTTGTTAAATTATATTTAACTTCCAAGAATATGAAATCTCTGTAAAATGGGGATGACACGAGTGACATTTTTATTGGGGTTAAAAAGATCATGAGACTTAGATATCATTATTAAATAATATCGTTGTTGGGAAAATATTAGAAATCTTACTAGAATGTAGTTTGAAGTAGGTTGGTATTATAAATTGGGTTAACCTTGATAAGCCAAGTAACTATTTGGTAACACGGAGGTCTGTGAACTAGGTGTGGAAAGAATAGAGATAAATAATGAGTAATATAGACCTTTACGTGGTAAACAAGTGTATGTGAGAAATTAGGTTAGCATACATGTTCCTTTAGATGCAGGCATGTGTTGACATGTAATCCTTACATAAATTATGTTAATAATTACCTACAGGTTTCCTACTTACGTTTTGTGGAATCATCTTGTGTAACTTTAGGCTAAAGTGTATAATGTAACTCAACAGTCGCATGATTTTGGATGAACAAGATGTTTATTTTTGATTGGTTTGTGACGTACAGTTATGTTAATCATTGTAGATGTGACTCTTAACTCATGCTGAGCTACAGGGTATAAACACCGAACTACAGAGTTGGATAACAAATTTACTATTAGTAGTACCACTTATACGGGCATTACAATGTAGGTGGCAATCTACTAGTGTCTGATTGGATTTGACACTCCGATGGTGAATTTCACTTAAGTGTTTAGAAACTGTCTCGTTGTAACTTGTCTTTATGTGTTAATAAAGGTCTACCAGAATTAGTCGACGTGTCTGTATTGAACTAAGCAAGGCTGTTGTTGATGACCTAGTTGCTTTGTTACAGAACTAAATGGTCTGTAACTCATTTGTTGCAATTAAGTAATTTGTATTTAATTGTTGTATTTTGGCACTTGTGTATAAAGTGAAAATCATAAATAATATTCAACATTAAACTGGAACACAATTAAAAACATTTTATTTAGGCCTATCTATGGCCTTCAAAAAGTCGATGACTCCACATGTTTCGACATCATCCAAAATAAAATAGGCCTAAATAAAATATTTTTAATTGTGTACCAGTTTAATGTTGAATATTATTTATGATTGTAATTTGTATTATATCATGGGTTTGACTAAGAAAATATGTATATATATATATATATATATATA